CCCCAAAACCCCAAAACCCCAAAACCCCTCAATTAAATATCAAGATTGAATATTATTTTAACATATTGAAAATGCAAGGCTATTCAGCCCAAGGCATCAGGAGTTAGTACGTCTGAGAGCAAAGTGGATGGATGATTTAGATGTTAACATAAATTATAGCTCAAGTGTCAAAGGTCTCCAGAGTAGCAGATTCCAGAATCACAATGAATCACAAAGCATGGTAATTTATTTGGAGAATTTGAGATGAATTAACAGATTATTTAGCTTAGCGGAAGACAAAGCTTGGCTTCTTCAAGAGCAAAGTTAACAGATAGAGAGTACAATGAAGCTATAGTTCAAGCCCAACAGGCTGAAAGTATATTCGATAGGACTCTGAAATAAGTATAAATCAATCCGTTCGATTAAATCAATGCTAAAGAAGAGAACTAACTCTCCTTTCGTATCAAGGAGATCAAATAGGTTCAACGGAAACAGTGAGGCATCTAGCAATGACCTCAACTCAAATGATAGGAGCCTTACCTCCAATATTGATAGTAAATACTGCTTGTTTACTATAGACATTCTGAACCAAAGCCAAGCTGTTAAAACATTAGTTCCCTCTATGTTTAGAGGAGGGAAGTATGTAAACCTTCCTCGGAGCCAAAACTTCCGACGGAACATAGACCAAATAGAAACCGGGACTTTGAAAGATGAGCCAATAAAATTTCCAGAACTAAAACCAGAACCATTAGATAAGAAATCAAACAGACAAGTTATCACTGATGCGGAGGCAAAAACTCAGGATGTCACCTCTGCAGCTAGGACTAACGAGGAAAACAAAAATTTGTGTATTTATATTTCTAATTTCTTAGTACCCCGAACAGCAGCAGCTATAATTGATTCAAAAAGAGAGACTACTCGATTTACAGTTTTGAATAAATCTAAGATTAATAGCGAGGAAGAAACTTCACCTGTGGCTAAGAGAGACACCATCCTGGATAACAGCCAATTGGTTGATAAAAAGAAAAAATTTAGGGGAGAAGTCAATGAGAAACCTCAAAACCGGTCTTCTGACTCTAAACTAAAAAATCAGATTGACCAAGGTAACCTTGATACTTTACTTAAACTTAATGTTTAGAGAACAAGTCTCAAATTTTGGATAAATCAAACCTGAATAACGAGTCATCAGTCTTGGAAGATTTCAAAATGGAGGCTAAAATAGAGCCCAAGACTGAGAAGAAGCCAACATATACTAAGGTTCATATTCCAAAATTCAAAGGGCCAATAGATTCCTTGATCACTAAAATGGAGAAGAGTTTGAATTAACATTAAAAACTTTCACCCTGATTTTTCCAAGAAAGGTAAAATTCCTAAAAATTATACCAAAATTCTAGGATTTTACAAAAAATTTAAGGTGAAAGACACCAAGGATCCTCTAGATAAGGAACTCATACTCCTTCAGCAAGAGAATGAGTGGTACAAGAAATACCTCAAGGACTTAAATCAGCAATTATCACAGTACATCAACAAAAAGTTCTCGAAATAAAGTGATGGTGAAAAAGACTGGTCTGGGGCGCAGAAAACGTAGTAACCCTGACATAGAACAGAAGAAAGAGAGACAAGCGAAGTTAGTAAAGAGGCAGGTTGAGACCGCCAAGAGACAAGTCAAACATCTGAGTACTGAGAGGATCAAACTTTCAACAAAGCTGAAATAAATATGGCAATCCTAATTATTTATAAGCAAGCTTGAGCAAAAATCAGAAACTTTGGAAGAAGCAATTCGGCTTCAAAAAGAGAAAGTTAATGAGAAAATTGAGAAAGAAATACAACTTGTTGATACGATTATTACTAACAAGAATACTTCAAATGTTAGATTCAAATCCCATTTTGGTTCCCGGAAATTCAGTGAGGATGACGTTGAAATAAGAGGAACTATGCCAAAAAGACCAGAAAGATGGACTAAATCCTCTAGGAAGAATATTGATCTTTTGCGTAAATTTTATTAAGCTAATCTTTAGAGTACGAATCTTCAGGCCTAACTAATACTAATATCAACAAGGAGCACCCTCTTGTGAAAGAATTTAACCTTGTTGTTGATAAAATAGAGAAGTTAGAGGAGAAACAGCTTGAGAATCTTAATGTAAAGCATGATCTTGAAACCAAAATAGGATACAATGAGCAGAAGCTAAACTCCCTAATGTATACTTGCCAAAACTATGAAAAATAACCCTCTCACTGAAGAACAAATTCTGAAGCATTTAGGTACATTTCGATCTCATCTGTAGCATCGTCTGCAAAGAAGTTCCCAAAATCTAGTCCAGTAAGAAAAGTTGTGAAGAATGCAGACTTAAATCTTGATCAAGGTTCAGCTCCGGATTTGCAGACACCTTTAAGAAACTCTGCCTCACCCCCTAAGAATGGTCAGAAGGCAGCTCCAAATTCTGCTGAATACTACAGAAAATTAAAAGAAACTCTGTTGCATAACAAGAAGTCTACCAAAGTTAAGATGATGGATGAGTACAAACGGACTCTTATAAAGTCTCAGATTGGTGAAAAGTAAGTATATATTTCTAAACACCCTAATAAAAATGCTGCATATTCATAATTCTTAACCCAAATCTTGCTTAAAATTCCTTCTAGAAATTTGTCTAAATAACAAGACCAAACTGAGAGAGACAACCACCAAAATATATATGCAAGAGAAGCTGATTAAAATCCTTGAAGAAGAAATGAATAAAGCAAAGAAGAGGAAGAAGGTCATGTCAAAACTCAAGAAACTTGACCTAAGCGTTCTTAATAAAGATGCCTCTTCCAAACCTGTAAAGGAAGAAACCAAAGTTATTAATAATATTACCATAACCGGTGAAAAATTAGATACCAAGTTTGGTGATAATGCTGAGAAAGTAGAGTCTGTAGACCCAAAGACCCGAGGTCCAAGAATTAACACCAATATATCCCAGGATAGCCTGAAAGGAGTCTCAAGAATGACCCCTCAAGCTAGGAACAGAAATAAGTCTTTGAAGAACAGTATTTCAAAATCAGGGAGTGCTCACAGTTTAGCAAGGTAGGAACTGGGAGTCGAGTAGAAATTTGAAATATTCAGAATATAAACTAATTTATTATCACCAATCCTTTCAATCCTAGAAAAAGTCTAAGGGGTTTTGGGGTTTTGGGGTTTTGGGGTTTTGGGGTTTTGGGG